GGGGGGGGTGAATGCCGCCGAATGAGGATGCCGTGAGGAGAACCATTTCTCAAAAATGGTTGTGAACTGGTAGGGAATCGAACCACTCTCGTTTGCACCTGGACGATGACGCGTTACCCGCTACACCACCGGCACTTGCACTTCAGAATCAGTCTGACCCGCATCCGCTGTGTATCTGCCTTTCAAGAAAAATTACACCTTTCTTCACTGGCTGCCTTCCATCTTTTTCTTTGTAACGGCTTCTTCGCTGGCTTTTCGCGAGGTTCCCGCGACATAGGTTAAAGCTTAGGAGTAAGAGAAGCTAGATAGTATTGATTTCCTTTTCGACATGCGTTTTGATAAGGCTTGAATAAACGAAGTAGTTTAGCCGTTTTTTTTTAAATTCTTAAAGTTTCTGCGATAGGCAGAAAATAAGAGGGGGGAGGACGGAGAAGCAAATTCCTCCAAATTAGTTTGAAAATAAGCTCGTAGATTATTTTTACTAAGTCAGGATACTTTTGCTCGGTTGATAGTTATGGATTTGCCGGCCTTTTTTATATGATTCTGAAGTTTACCAGTAGCGGGATGAGTCTCCAGTTAAACATTCTTTACTGTAGGTCGGAAAAAACGTGAAGTAAAAATGACGACGACAACAACAACGACGAAAGCAACGCCCAAACTTGCAAATGGTTCTGAAGCAATATCGAGCAGTGATGATTACTATGCGTATGAAGACGAAGACGATTACACTATCCATGCAAATGACACCAAAAGTAATTTTTTGTTTTTTTTTTTTTGCTTATATTACTCAGTTTCAGCAATCAGACCATTTTTACCTTACTTTTTCTTTTGCGTAACTGCCAGCTTCTTCCATTTGCTTTGGTCAGTGCCGCTTCACCTGATGGTCATTCTGCTGCCGATTCTGATGTCCCTTAGCTGTCCTGAGAATCGAATCCCAACGATTCTGACAGAAAATTAGTAAGTTTTTTTTTCTAGCAAAAGAAAAGAATGTGGACGAAGTAATGTGTAATCGCTACGGTAAAGGCTTGTTGAAGTGGATGAAAAACAACGAGAACAGATGGAGTGAATTTCTCACCGAGGTATATTTTTGCACCTGTCTTTTCGTAGACGAAAATCATAAGACTTAAAGTTAAAATTTTTATCATTTTTGATTACGTTGTAATTTTTATGCTCACACAAGATCAATATTTTTTAAATTATCGTGATAGCGATATAATTATGAGTTACCCTAATCGTGATAATTTACCATGGTAGCCGTAATCTTTGGCAAGTTATTGATAATGACATGTGCCTAGCCCATAAATACAGTGGGCTATTGCCCTAGTTCAGTTGTCTTATTTTTAGAGGATATTTGGTATTTTTTGTTAGTTTTCTTCCCTGTGAGTACTATTGGGTAATAGTTTTTCTTGGATTTTCCTAACAGGGTAAATTCGAGATAACGAGGGTAAGGAGCCCAACTTTTCCTGGGATTAGTGATGCCTTTGCAAAAAAGGGTTTCGTTCACGATGGTTTCTTCCCTCTTCTCGGACTTTGTCACTTCTAGACCAGACTGAAGAACCGGCAACAATTATGTAAGATTGAAATTTTTTTTTTTAAATGAATGCTTGGTCGGCCATAATTCATGGTGCTCCCGCTGTGCTTGCTTTGACCAATGCTGAACGGATTGTTAGGGATCCTAAATTTCGTTTTGTTGTCTTAGGGGATTATCACCAGCACAGTGGTTTTTCTCCCAAAGAGACATTTGACAGGGCTTTAGCTGTTTCGAGCTGTCCTTAGTGGGTGTTGAGTTTTAACTCCTCATCTCAAAAGTTTTTACTTCTAGGCTAGACTGAAGCATTTCATTTTACTGACAAAAATTACATAAAATTGAATTTTTTTTTAGAAAGAAATGCCTGTGTATCCGGATTATGGTGAAATAATGACCGGTGGTTG